AAAGTAAATTAATTGCAACTTTTAAAACAATATATAGATCATGATAACAGAGTAAGAAAAGAAATGCAGTAAGGCAGAAAACTCAACAAGAAACCTAGAGGAAACAATAAACCTGAAAAGAAATTATTTTAACCTTGCACCCACAGGGACATTGCAGTCTCACTCATGAAGCCCTTGCTTCTCCCTGTGCACAGATAACACAAACATCTTCGACTTCTGCACTGTTTCACAGAAGCCTTTTCCTGCACACTGAAAGGTAACCCGAAATACAAATTCTGCCATACAATTTTGTTCTCCTATGTAAATGGCAGGTAGTCTTTTTCTCTCTGAACACAGAAAGAAATAAGCACAAAAGGGTACCTAAAGGCCCAAATGTGGGGAACACGGTTTATCACAAAGGAAAAATGACGATCCTTGGCCACTCCATAAAGTTCTCTGTTGTTCAAAAGACAAAGATAAAGGGTATGGTCATTTGCTTGGAGGAAGTCATCTTCTCCCAGTTTTGACACCGGTGCACTGTGAGAATTACAGTGTGGCCCCTGCATGTGGCAGGAGAGAAGCTTCCTGATTATGTTTGGGATCCGTCATTTCTTACCAGCTGCATAAGATTGGATATCTTAACTTCCCACTTCACCAATCTTACAGATTTTTAGTTATAAAAGTCTCTAAAGTGTAATTAAAGTTTGAGTTGGACCTAATTAGCTTGGTAAAATTTTCAGTGGGGATTTAATTCCCTTTAGCATTTCCCTGATCTTTTTCCCTTTTAGAATCAATCCTTCCTTAGGTTCGTTATGAGCAAAAATTTTTAGAAGCTGCATTTTAAATCACCTCACAGACTATGTCTCCATTCAACTAATTATCAAATTTCCAGCAGGTTCTTATGGCTAAGGACCAACCTCCAATAACGAATCCTAAGGTATTTCACCGAATACGCACTCCTTTTCCACCTCTTCAGTTTCATTTTCTCACTAACAAACTATGTTAAATAATATTCAGGGTACAGGAGGGAAATGGGTGTTTCAAAGCACTTGAAGCACAAAGAAACTAATAAGTGCCTCAGAAGTAGATTCTGAGAGAAGTTCAATGAGAAATGTCAAGCTTGCTAATTTTACCACAAAAGATGTCATGGTCAAAACAGTGGAATAAAAGCAAACAGTAGTAAGCTTTTCCTCTGCCTTTGAAATACGAAATACATCTTTCTTGTACTTCAGTAAGTATCCATGAAACTTTGATACAGGAAAGTGATTTTCAGGTGGTGTAAGGTAAACAACTGTGGTGGCCGCAAATGGACACCAAGCTTCTAAGTCAGACACCATGACCGCTCCATTTGCAAAGTTCTGTAACTTCCTCTCCTACTGTAACAGTTACTGAAACTCCATGACCACAGACTTGCAAGGCAGGCGCTTATGCCACTGAGCTAAATCCCCAGCCCCCAACTCCTTATTTATAATATTTCCTTTAACTTTGCTCCTTAACGTTATATCTGTGGAGGTTATCTTCAGCAAGCTCAAACATTTCTCCAATAAAAATATTACTGGTAATAAAAATATAAATATTTTTAAAAACTATGTTTATTCCTCTATTTTGAAGTTCTTGGACACTCAAGGTTCTTTTCTTTTTAAACAAACTATTACATGGTGTTCAGGTTAGGTTTTTATCAAATTATTTTAAATTAAATTTTAAAAATTAATAATGATATTTAAAAAAGTAACTTCCTTTGTGAGGATCTGTCGCTCAGAGTTTGAATCAAGGATCATTTCACATCGAAAGGCATGGAATTGCAGATCTACAGTGCTTCCAATGAAAATTAGGTTACAGGATGTTTTAAAACATTGAGCAATTTCCTTTTTCATTTTAATCTTTAAGAATGAAGATGTTAATTAATAAGACTGGTAGGTTGTCTCTATTTTTATATCTTGAGTGCCGGTGTTTACAGTAAGAGTCAGCCAGTCAAATACTGAATTTCATCTGACTGATTCTACTTTCTAATCCTGCTTTACCCTTCATTGCTCTTATTAAATTAATTCTTCCAGGTTTGTTTCTATACTTCTAAAATAAGGCAATTGGGCTTAGAGAATGATTTTTAAGGCTCTTCTTATTCCAATTCTGCAAAATTTCCTTTATAACTTGACTTTTAAAACCCTTGGACTGGTAAGTCTAAGGGAGATTGCATGCTAGAATGAAAAAAATATATATATGAGCCCATCAAGGGAACTCTAGTTAAGGGCTGATGTGCAGGTGGAGCAGTCTATACCAGGGCAAAGGAAAACTCACAGGAAAGGCTTACAACTGAGGGGGATTCTATGAGAATGAACACTGGTGACATTTTATGTTTTCAGTAACTCTACAAAGCGGAGCTAAGGACCAGATATAGCTCAGAGGTTCACGGCCTGCCTGGCAAGAAGGAGGTCATGAGTCCTATTCCCAAAACAAAACAAAAACAGCCAAGCTATCTGAAATTAGGTGGTTTAACTACAAACCCATGATACTTTGTCCCTATTTCATTTCAGCTTCAGGAAAACGAAAGCATTCTAATAAGTACTGATGTGGATGAAACTCAAATTAGCAAAAACACAATCCACTGGGGTTGATTTGAAATTGTGGGCTGATTGTGCCTGTATCCTATGCTCTATGGTGTCAGAATGAAATTGAGTGGAAAACACTGTGCAAATCAAGAAAACCCTGGAAGTATTTGTCCAAAACACGTAGTCCAGGCTGTGGAAGGGATAGAAGTGGGGAGCACTTGCTGGAAAAAGGGAGTGATCCATACTGGGAACCTACAGAAACCAGCATGCATCCACAGCTGCCGACTCAAAGCCACTGAGATGACTACTGAGCTCATGTCCTTGCCAGTGTAGTTTTTGTGGTTGAAATGCTAATATAAAAGCTGCATACTGGTTTATATCAACTCATAAACACTTAAACATTGAAAATGTTAAATGGAAGCATGGCTTAATTTGAAGCTGTCAACTTCAGCCTCACACACGCAAAAATATGCCTCATTCATGGAGATCTGCCAAAAACCATGTGTCTCAGTTAAGCTCAGGGATCATAGAAATCCTCATTTTTTTCCATAGGATGCCATAAAAAGTTCATTAGCTAAATCTTTGCCTATGCTAGAGATTCTTGGATTCCTGTTCTTTTCTGTAATCCACAGCAGGTGTAACTTTTTACAGAATTAAAGCAGGGCATGAGGCCAACAGAAGGTTACCTAGGGTCACCATGGGAACAAGGATACAGTGTGAATGGTTTGGATGTGGCTCTAATTTTTTTTTCAGCTGAAAAGTGTTTTTGGAATCATCCTGTATAATCTTACTATGTTTTTACAATGCTTCTTCCTACCTCTTCTCCAAATCACTGTCATTCCTCATGACTCACATTCTGACTCTCTTACGTATCTTCCTTCCTTTCCTACTGGAACTCTCACTCGCTTGACCCTCTTTGGAACTCAGGTGGGTGCAACTGACATGAAACTCACTACTGCACTTCTCACAGTCTATTGTATGCTTCTAAACCTTGTTTATAATGAACTAGACGGTTTGTACAATCTCCTGTACTAGTAATGACCCTAACATTTCTGTTGGCACATCTCATATTAACTATACATTAGTGGCAGTTAGTGGTAGTTATATATTAATTATATATTAGTGGTAGTTAAGAGCAATAACAACCCTGAAATTACACTTTGGTGACTGAATGTTAACTTTTATCACTTAGCAGCTTTGTACTTTCTCCAATAACTTACCTCCTGAGAACTTTAATTTCTCTCAAAAATGTAGATAATAAAATTACTAGTCATTTTGTGAGGATCCCTGAAAAAAACTTTAAGACAGCACTAAGCACAAGGTAAAAACTCTTTAAGTGCTAGCACTGTCTTTATCAAAATAATTATTTTTAGTAGTTTGTTTTCACATATGGAGCTTAATATAGGCCCATGTCATATTCCACAACTGTTAAAACTTATTCTCTCAGGACAATCAAGCACCTGCACACCAAATTATGGACAGAGTCAAGCTTTCAAAAGTGTATGTCCTCGTATTTGTAATAACTACAGGACTTTTAAAACCCTCTCAAACAGTTCTGTATATTCTCCCATAGTAGGGCAATGACACATTGACCAGTGATTGTTTTACACTAATACTTAAATGAATTGAGATTATATGATTAAAATGTTTCTTTAGAATAAACCAAACTATGCTACTGCTTAGCAACAATATATATAGCTAAGTAATAAATCCAAAGTTTTCAATTTTACAATTTTGATGCCTACATGATTCTGCTGCAGCCATACAGTAGACACCACATCATGCCTAATTGGAAGAAAAGGATGCTTTGATGAAAAACACTCATAAAAATTGAACGATCTTTCTCTCCCCATACTCCTACAAATTCCGGCCGTACAAAAAGTTACACCAGAAAACCATTGCTGACAATGAAGAACGAAATTATTATCACCTATCTTCTTGTCTTTCCTGGATAAACGTCAGGTAAACTTACCAGATCACAAATGACACAGTATTATTTCCTTCAGAATGTGTTTAAAATACAGCAACAAATTTATTTCATTCTCCAGAATCATTTCAATTTTGCTTCATGTAGTCTTTATCTTGTAGACCAATTTCTTTCTTCCTTCTTTCTCTTAGCTTTCAATATAATCATTACTGTATATGTGATACCCAATGCCTTTAGCTAGACATGAGCAGTTAAGCCATTTAGTGTAACATTAGGCCCAACATCACCTTTCGTTTGACTTTGTTTTATAGCTAGTACACAAATGTCCACCCAAATATCAAACTAGTAAAGAAGAGGAACTTAATTCCTTCGTAATGTTCTATGACTCAGACACTGTTCCCCAATCCTACGCAAATAACAGTAAAACATAAAATTTAAGCTTGTGCCGTTTGACTCCAGGTACATCAAGTCTTCATCAACGATGCTTTCTGCCTGGATCTGAAATGAGATCATGAATTAAGAGTGATTCTGGTGACAGAGATATTTACCTCTTTGAGACAGCCCATGAAGTTGTTACTGACTGGGGACCCTGGAAGGTCTGCTGTGCTGGGACTGCCTCCAACATAGAAAAAGTCATCAGAGCCCAGCATGGTATAATCTTCTTGTGTGTAGCCCGTTGTGGTAAGAATCCCATCCACTGATATTGTCACCTAGATAACAAAGCACAGGGAAAGGACACGCTATACTCAGACCTACATGCTGTAATCCTGGGATATGCCTGTTTTGTGTTTTGTTTTGTTTTATTTATTTTTTATTTTTTTGGTTTTGCTTTTTTGCTTTTTTTTTTCTGCTTTTTTGGTTTTTAGTTTTAGACCTATGATGGACCCCATTTTCATGTCTGTTTGAGGTTTATTCTTGGATTCTATCCAACTAGCCCTAAGAGATCTAAACTAGTTAGAAAGCTGATTATTGAGCTAGTGTCAGCATCATCCCTACTGCAACTTAAAAGTTATTTAGCAGACACAAAAATGGTGTTAGTAAAATGCTTCCTAGGTTAGTTTTGCTGGTGTACATATTAGTAAAGTTTAGTCGTCTGTTATTAACTAATCACAACGTGCACCTTGGTAACATAAAAGGCGCAAGCTATTTCCAGCAACGTCACTCTTGGCACTATTGAGCAGCAACTGTTCAGCATGCAAGTGCCTGAGTCATGCCAAAGGAGGGGAGAGCAAAACAATCAGTAGAAGCGGACCACGCGATGTGCACATGCAGGGACAGTACGGTCCAGAAAAGAAAGGAAAGAAAACAGGGAGAAACAAAGGAAAAGAAAGTAATTGCTTTGTGATGACGGAAAGATGAGTGGGTGTGGCATCTCCAGCATTCCCAAATCAAGTTCCATGCCATGCACCATGAATGGTTAGAGACTGGCTGAGCCTGCGGTCACTCCGGCCAGCCACCATTTGTCTTTTCCCGTGTTAACCACAGCTGGATGCAAAACGTTCGAAACGTTAACGATGCCCCTACAGGTGAGTTGGAAAACAGAAGTTGACAGGAACAGGTAAAAAATAAGAAAGTCAACAACAGATGAAAAGAAGGAGGTCAAAGTAAGCAGAAGAGTACCAACCGCAGTTCCTCTTTTGTTAATGATGTCTACAGTTAAAAGAAAGAAAGAAAACACACGGCAAACCCAAAATAAGAAACAATTAGAATGATATCTACCGAACAATGTAGTTTGTTTACCATAGCGTGTCCAATGCCTGAGTGCTTTGTGGAGAAGGGGGGAGAAAGGAAATTAAAAACTGTGAACAGAATAACGATCGTTACTTAAAAAATATGATGGTCTCTACCATGTTAGTACATTTTTTGATTCAGGTAACGGTTAGTAGAATGAAACATTCCATGAATGACATGTTAGTTATTAAGCATGTTAGTAACATAGAAAAAGGGCAAAAAAATTTTACAAGAAAAAAGCAGACTAACAAATAGGCCTCCCACAGAGGTAATATTTTCTTCCTGCCATTTTTGTTCACATCTTGTTATTGAACAGAAACAGACACATGGCAATGTTCCCTTTGTCCTCCTGAGAGGTGCTGTACATCTGAGAGGTGCTGTAAAAATCTGAAAGGGATTCGAAGGCCTAAAGCTTATCTGCTGACCTCTGCTGCCCTAGGCCCGTAATCACCCCTCCCCCGCCCGGGCCCACCCCAGCCCAGCAAATTGGTATGAATTGGTTGGCATTTCCCTAGTACTCAATTTTACAGCATACAAGGACTCCTCCTCAACTCCAAAACTTCTTTCGGTCATATTGATGGACTTTAGGGTCACAGTTTACTGCAATGAAACAAAGCAAAGATCCTGACACACAGAATGCGTAGAATGGATTGGTTTTTAATCTGTCCTGCCACACACATGCACCCGGCTGTATGACCGCTGTTTCCTTGGCTCTACCAATCACAGTCTGGTTTAGAACCTGAGCAAAGGCAAATCTAGAAAGTAGGCTCCTCATGACCCACCCTTCCTTCTGCGCGTCTCTCAAATGAGCCTCGCATCTCTTGGTGAGTATCTGGGAGAAAAAAATGAAAAATGAAAACCAAAGAGACAGACTTACAGGAAACCGATGTCTACTGCTATTACTGATGGCGGCAGCCAGCTCCCAGCCAGGCGGGAAGCATGCAGGGTCCCCCCAGGTCAACAAGGTATCTCACTGGTTTTGGGGGCTCTCAACACTCTTTCCATTTCACTTGCCTGCCTTAACTAGACTAAAGCTCCTCTCCCAAGGCTCCTTTTAGCTTCTCTACTTTAGATAGCTTAAGCTTTTCAGAAGCAGGAAAGAAAAGGTTAGACAGTTAACAGCTCAGAAAGGAGGGCTGTTTTAGTAAATGAAAACCAGAGACAATCCGGTCATTCTGCAACTGTTCAGAGAAACAACAAATATGTTAGGGATATTAGTTTGAGATCAGTATGTACTGCGAAAGTATTAGTCACTGTCAACACTTAACAAAAAGATACTGTAATATCACAAAAGTTCAAATAATAACCAGACTTATAATGATGAAATAGATAAGGACAATCTATTTACTTTTATCTGAATCTATACTGTATTAATATGTCTCTTTCAAAAACATACAGTATATGCAGATGCAGAAATTGGTAACAAATTTATGTTTTCCTATTATATAGCCTTTTGTTAATTTTATAAATACACAATCAAATAGAAATGGGCACCCAGAAGATGAACTGGCCTTTCCAGAGTCATTTGGAGTTTAACTTAAGATGCCTGAGCTAAAATGAAAAACAGCCTCATATTTTCTTTAGACCCCCAAATCATTCTGTTTCCTCAGGGACCTTTCTTGTCCCCATTACAGAGTTGGGAATGAGGAGGAAGTAGGGATTGATCCAATCCCCAACTACAAACACAGTTTTTTGATTACAAAAAAGGAACTGTGATTTAATGAACCCAATGTGCATGCTTCCAAATGATCACTATGAAAACTCATATTTAAAATCAAACAAACAAACAAAAAAACCAAAAACAGAACAAAATCACACACATCATAGGAAGGGCAGGTCGCAGGGATATCCTTGCAGCCCTCTGGGATACTGATATGTCACTGTATCAAAATAGCTCTTGGGCCCCCAGAACTTTCTAGATATGCCCCTGCTCAAGTATGGCAGGAAGATTTCTCAGAAGAAAAAGCTTAATTTGCACGAAACTCTGAGGAGCCCTGTATCTCATTTTCAGGGTTTCAAGAACCACACACACAGCTGCCGCAAGAAACAAAGCCAGTTACTTTCTTATCCACTGCGCTGTTACCTGACGCAGATTCCTGGTGACTTTCACATCATGCCAGGCATTATCATTAAACTTTCCATTCACGGGCTCCACTAGCGCTTCAAAGGCCCCTGATCCCAAATTAATGACCAGAGAGACAGCTCCATTTTTCAGGGCAAGATTGACATAATCAGCTGATTTTCCAGTGTGAAGCATCAGTCCATTCCTCTGAAGGGTTTTAAAGGACAGAGTTATTTCATCGCTGCTGCTTTGAATAGGGTTTTGAGACAAGTCGTAGCAGAAGTATTCAGATCCCTTGAAAGTGGCTATATATTCTTCTTTTCCTAGAGAAAAACAGAAATACACATGCTATAAGAAAAGAAATATACCATGCAAATCAGCAGATCTTAACAAAATAATAACTAATTCAGCCCCCAAATGAACTCCGTCCAATAAATAGTCATGATAACAGCCCTGTTAGAATCACAGAATGCTGTATGTGACAGTATTTTTAATAAACCTCACAGCTATTGGACCATCAACTACTGTAGCTAAAACTGACATTCTTGAAAATTCAATTAATTTTTAAGTATCACTGTAAGAGCTCTGCTCAGAGAAAGGAGCTCTGTGATATCTCCAGGGCATGAATCAGATACCATAAATGCATATTGGATGGTTCCAGCAGCTAACAACAATGGATTCTAACATATCTGCGACATTCTTTGTATCCAACTGAGCAATTATTTCAATTTTCATCAAGACATTTATATTCAAAGATCTTTCTCAATGAAAAACCAAATATTTTTATCCCTGAAAGAACATAGCAAATTATTTGGTAAGGGAAAAGGAAAGATTAAAAAAAAAAAAAAATGAATGCGACGTGGGAGTAAGAAGATCTCCTGCAGAGTGCGTGCATTTTTTCCCTTCTGGTATAAAGCAAGCAGTGATAGAAAGTCCAATGTAGTCAGCTGGATTGTTAATTCATTCCCTGATCTTGCCAAGCAGATGGTAGGGCTGGCTTTTAGAGACTGATAAGAATTCCAGCACATCATCATGGGGATAGAATGCAAATGAAGTCTCAATATTTTCTACAAATCTCTGTCTTGACTATATTTAGGAGTAACAATGTGGACCCCTCCAGATGCTAGGCTGATCGAACAGTGTGGCTGTTTAAAAAGAGCCATCTTTTCCCACTGACCAAATGAGTTTAACCAAAAGAAACTGTAAGCCAAAAGCTCCTTTGACAGGCAGTAATAGTAAAAAAACAAAACAGGACGATTAGGAATCAGAATGTGAATATTCACAGAATTATAACTAGTACAAAGGAAACTTAAACGGTTCCGCTGGTAATATATTATCACTATTAAGATTGCTGGGGGTTTCCTATACAAGCAGTCATGTCATCCTTTCCAAGGCAATAGGTTTTTACTTTGGAATTGTCATCATTTGATAATTTAGCTCATGACCTAGAATCATAGCTCAAATCAAGATTTCACTTCCACCATGCCCGATGACCTGATTTTCTGGAGGTGAAAACTGCCATCAGAGACTACAGATAAGCAAGCCGTGGCACTAAGATAGTGTGCACCTATGGGCTTTCAAGAGGGACTGAGCCCCTTTAGAATAGTGACAGAGTACTAGGAAATAATTAGCAAAGCCCAGGCCAAAAAAAGTAGTCAGGCTAAATCAATCACATTGTGAGGAAGAGTCACAAAGAAAACCCAGTTCTACCATTGGGTCTCCACCATTCATACATGCAGAATGTGGGATGAGTACCTCTCCTACGTTAATTACCATCCTGGTTTTAGAAAGCAGAGTAGATCTGTCAGAACTGTTGCTGTGTGAGCATGTCCCCAGTACAGGTATCTGTTTCCTGTTTGGTTTGAAATGGCAAGTACTGCAGTAGAGGGCACCAAGATGTTTACTGTTACTGGTAAACAAGGGGCCAGTGAGAGCCAGAATTTGCCAAGATTAAAAGCTGGCTACTTACTGACACCAGGGGCAAATATGCATCTTTCAAAATATCAGTTTCTGAAAATGGTTAATGACATCAATCTTTTAACATTGGTCTGAGCATGAAATGAAATGATGTCACCGTGAGCATCTAGGTAGATTGGTGAAAGGGAGGCGTCTCTCTCCTCATGTAATGTGGCAATACTTAATTGTGAAATCTAGGTAATTACCTTTAAAATCTGAAATACCAAAGGATTCTCACTATCACATTTCTATTTAATACCATATTTGAAATTTCAGATGAAAATAACAGCATATCATCAAGTATGGATAACAGCATATTATCAAATTCAAAGGCTAAAATTATCTACAGAATTTATTTGGCTTGGTAAATATTAAGAAAGATTGCAGAGTTTTATATATAAGGTATAATCAATGTTTCTAACACATATAAGATTTTTGTGTATCTATAGATTTAATAAAATTTCAAAACTAATGACTTTTTAAAATGAATATGAAATGTTTGTTCTACAGTTTCTGAAGGGTAAAGAAAGAGCTTTAAATAAAAAGATGTGACCGAGAAAGACGATGAAACAATTTGAATACATAGATGGATATTTAACCAAAAATAATGGTAATTAAAGACTGAATTACAATAGATAAGAGGATAATACATATCATCTAACTACAAATATCCCTGAATATATATTGAAACAGTGTGTATAGGCATTATAGGTAAGTGAGCAAAGGCCAGGGAGTCACTAAAAAGTTGCTTGGAGAACTGCCACCTAAATGAACAAAAATCCATGTGAGAATGGATCTTTACATAATTATACTGACAAAAATATTCTACTTGGACGAAGACAATTTAGAAAAGTAAGTCTGTACAAATTTTTCAAGCAAGAAATTATAAAACAAAGTGTGGGAAAAGTTAAACAAGTGTCATAAAAAACTATAAAATTACCTATATTAACAGAAAAAAATCTGTTCATTAATCATACCATAAATAAAGAAGTTAAAATTCAGAGAAAATATTTTCATTTTAGTTTAATCAACAAAGGGAGACAATTCAGATTCCTTTTGTTAATAAATAATAAATCAATACAAAACAATAAATCAATATAAAAACAATGAATAAGCCAAAAATATATAGTAATGTCACAGAAAAAATAATAACTGAAAAGATACTTGATTCTACTGGTACTCAGAGAAAGGCAAGTATAAAAATTATATTCCTGTACAATTTTAACAACCATAAATGCAAGCAAATTTTTAAAAAGATGAAAAAATTTAAAACTCTGGCAAAGTTGTTGCTTGTACTGTCACTACTGATGAGAATCCTGAGATAAAATCAGACCAACTATAATCAGCTCCCTTTTGCTCCACGAAATCTTATGGAAGTTTCATTTATTATAAAGAACTTGGGTCTCAGTCCTTAGAAAACAGCATAATTAATAAAAATAATATTCTCCAAATTTTCATTCATTTCTGAATGTTCATTGTTCTGATGACTTCTGGACAGGTGATTAAGTGGATTTTGGTCCCTGTACGCACCCATGCATATCTAAGGTACGATTTATTGTTCTAAACATGATATTTTTTATTATTTAATAGACTCTTTAAAACTCAGTAGAGGTAGCTGAACAAGCTTTAGAGAACTTCCTGTAGCTCCACCCTTCACTTTTCACTAGAAAGTGAAGCCCCTAAAGTTTATATGATTGTCAAATACATAAAACACGCCAGTAACAAGAACAGGACTACAATTCAGCCTCCTGACACTAAAAACTAGACTAATAAGAAAAGCAGACAAAATACTTGAATAGACATCCCACAATAAAAGAATATTCATGTGAAACAATGTTTGACTTCATTAGTCTTCAGAGAAATCCAAACTAAAACTAGTGAACGAAATTTCTGAAAAAGACACAGATATAATCAAAGTATTGGGAGCAACGGGAACTCACAAAATGTTAGTAGGAACTATTTTGAGAAGTTGTTTGGCACTGTCTTTTAAAGCATATACACCCTTACCCTATGATTTAGCGGTCCCATTCAAAAGTATACATACAACAAAAAATGTAGATAAAGATCATCAAAATAATACACCAGAAAATTTATAGTGTAACTCTTCATTAAAATTTCAAACCAACCACTGCAGAAATATTAAGTTAATGGCAGGACACATTAATATATTAGTGTAAAGTCATACAAAATATTAATAATGAGAATATATGATTTACAACTACATGCAAAAATATGTACCAACTGAACAGTATTAATAGTGAATCCAAAATGCAAGATACAAAAGATAATATAATTCAGATTTTATTTATAAAAAAATAAAATTAAAACTGATCTTTGTGTTATAAATTGAGATCATGGAGACTACTGGTAGAGACAGTGATGGAGGTCTAGTGGGAAGGACTCAAGGAAATAGAAACATTATAACCAGGTGTGGTGGTACAAGTCTGTAATCCTAGCACTTAAGAGGCAGGAAGATCTCTATGAGTTCAGTGCAAGCCAGGATTACATAGCGAGTTCAAGATCAGCCTGAATTAAATTGTGAAATGGGATTTCAAACACACACACACACACACACAGAGAGAGAGAGAGAGAGAGAGAGAGAGAGAGAGAGAGAGAGAGAGAAACACCCAACAAATTACATACTTGTGACACATAATAAATATATTTTTCATGGAATAATGGTGCACATGCATATCGTATCTTGATCCTGTTTTAATTTGCCCTCCTTTTCCATCCCTCTTGTCTTCTCATATTCTTAGACCCCTGTCTCAAACTTCACAGGACTGATATCCACGTTTTTTATCAGTTTATTTTATTTTGCTCTTTAAATTATACTTTGAGTTTTACAAACAAAAGAAATTGTAAGATAGTTACCATTCTGTGTCTGATTTGTATCATATAGCATTACGGGCTCGAAGTGCATTTACTTTTTTACAAATTATCCAAAGATTATGTTCACAATTAGAGAAAATGTAAAATCAGCCATTTAAAATGTTGGAGCATTTATCTAATATTGTATATTATTTGTTTCTTGTCCTAAAGATGAAAAAGAAGTGAAGAGAATGTCATTGGCTTTGAGTCCTATTCAACTTTTATCCCTACTTAATTTAAATGAAAACACACAGTTATTAGTAATATAATTTCCTGAGGAAAAGTTGAAAAATAATCAGAATTCCGATACTCACTATATGATGTGACTCTCAAAATTACATTTGATGGGAATAAACCTGAGTTATCGGTCTAGGCTCCAAATCATCCAAATGAACCAGTTACAACATGTAGGAAACATGAATTCCCAGCCACAGTGCAATACAAAACACAGCAAACTCTTCAGAAGCTCCATCCATAAATCAACAATGTTACAGAG